TCTGCAGTCCTTCTTCATGTTCCCCAGGCCACTACTATCTATATCCCTATCACCCACATGAAACACCAGGAGTGGGTAATAGTCCATGGGACTTACTGGAGCAGGCAGCCTCTCTGCCACATCCCTGATTCGTGCCCCTGGCAGGCAACACACCTCCCTTGAGACCAGGTCAGGCCGACAGACAAGTGCTTCTGTCCCTTTCAAAGTAGAGTCCCCTACTACTACGACCTACCGCTTTTTCCTGGCAGTACCAGTAGAGATCTTCTTTACCAGTGCATCAGCTGGCTGTTTCTGGCACTAGTGCGTTTCCTCATTGCCTCTTCGCTGGTTGGTGTGATTGCTATGCAGTACAGTGCAGGGGGTGCAGAGTCCATGGCTCCCACCATGAGGAGAAAGCACTGGTAGAGTGCCAGAGCATACATGGTACAGCCAACTCAGCCCTCAGTGCAGCAAGCAATTTTAAAGCAGATGATCTGAATTCATACAGTATTAGCACATTTTAACTCTCTTTCTTCTCCTTCCCCTTCAACCACACAGCTGTAATAATTTTACCATTTTATTTGCTAATGAAGTCAAAGGAACCAAGAGCAGCAGTTTTAATGCCTGATGAAGTGCACCTCTCCTGGAATGCTGAGTGCGTGAAACAGCATGGGGGAGCACTGGAAGTCAGGACAGTCTTTCTGTAAGATATCTGTGCAGCGAACTTGATGTCTTCAATTAGAAACATGGGCTGACAGATAATTTACTTTCCTTTTCTCTATTATTTTGCAATAAGTCTGAACAGTTTTAGTATTTCAGATAACACTGAAAACATTTTTTTAAGAGTTTGAAATCTTTGTTCTTGTTTTATTCTTTTTCCTGGACAAGGACTCTTTTTCTGTCTGGTACTTACTGGAATTGATATTTAATTGAAATTACTCCATGTCTAGGTCATCCTGTCATCTTGAGAGGTGCAGCCATTACATTTCTGCCTTCTCAAGTTTCGAACACATTTTTCATTTTGCAGCTATAGAAATCAGATCTCTTTTCTCTCAGAAGAGCAGCAGTTACAAGAAACACACAACTTGAACAGCAGAAAAGCAAAAAAGTAGCATTAAGCAAAGCCCTAGCAGAAAGCCTGGGGAGTGCACCAGTGCCCACTGCCATGTTTCGGGGCAACTTCTTTGTAGGCAATCAGAACAAAACTCAGGGAGCTCCTTGGGAGGGGGGAAGATGGCTGTAGTGAGGATGAAACAGGTCTGTAAATGTACAGCCACATTGCAGTGACAATGATTTGCTGTGATTTCCTTTTAGATGCAATGATCATATCAATACTTTGATTTGTTCAGGCGGGTAGTTCCACTTCACTTTTCCACTTTTCCACTAAAAAAACTTTCCACTTCACTTTTCCACTTTTCCACTAAAAGCCTCACTTTATTTGTGGGGGTTTTGTTCTGGTGTTTGTTTTTGTTGTTGTTGTTGTGTTTTTTGCTGTTGTTTTTTTTTTTAATGCAGTTGTGATTGTCTATAAAATTTTCTGATTTCCATGTGGGATGGAAATTTCCATTTTTTTGTCCGTTTTGCTGAACTGATGAACTCAGAGTTTCTCCCTTTTTTGTTTTTGAATGTGGCCAGAACACTGCCTCTCCAAATGCTGCAGGCTTTCTTCTGTCTAGCTCTTATTTATTCTTCTGCCTCTGTGCATGCTGGTCACCTTTCACATTTTGGAAATTGCTTTAGATGCAAATAAATCTATTTGTGGCTCCACACTCAGGATTTTAAAAGTTACTAAAAAATTCAAAGTAACACATGACAGATCTGAGCCTTTGCTGCTGATTCACATAATTGTTTTTAGGGGTTTTGGTTTTCTCATTTTCTTCTTTTATTAACAGAAGTTCTCTTCCATTTTAAAGGGCCTCAAAATGTTAATTGTTTAAAATACCAAGCCTGATCATTCTTTATCCTCTCTATGCTTTTCTTCATTTTCTTTCAGCAAGATTACCAACCAGTAGACAGCACATTTAATTTGCTCTGTAAACCTTGGTTATAGATTAGTAGACTGATTTCTTTCACACAGCATGCTGAGATTTAAAGAAATAGAAGTAAGCAGAAAATACTGGTCTTAAAATATGGGTTCAGACAGAAAACGAAGTTATCATGGCTTGGAAAGTCTACAAGAGGCAGCTGGGCTGCAGGAGCTATCTATGTCCATGCTTTTATGTCCATCTTCAAACAGGAAGATATTGATTTAATTTTGACTGCAAGATGGAAAAATGAGCAAAATCCAAATATCTGGTATTTCCAGTGGGCTCAGCCCAAGCACACAAACCATAGGCACAGCTCAGCTTTGTCATGGCAACTTCTTCATTCATATTCCTGTTTTGCTGCCCCTATTCCCCACATTGTCATTGACTCGGAACATTTTGGATGGGCTATAGGGCATATTGTCTTGTGTTGAGTCGTTAAATACATGATTGTGCTTAGCCTTCTTGTAGGTTTCTAAGCAGGTGAGTATTTCCAGACTGAAATCAAATGAGGGGCTCTGAATGATCACCTGGAAGGTCCTGGCTTCAAAATGTGCCTCCAACAACAAGCTCAAGAGCCGCAGGACCCTCTGGCTAATTGGAGCCATGAACAGGTATCTACACATGGAAAGGGTAAATATCTTAGGTCTTCCTTGAGCAAAGATTTTTCTTCATGCATTGCTTTCCAGATCACCTTGTCAATTAAGAGGGAAAGACCAATGAAACTGCTTAGAGAAAAACCTGGAGACAGAACAGGAATTATTAAAAATGCCGCACAGTGGCCATTGCTGGTACCTGCACCTGAGTCAGCCCGTGCCACAGCAGTGATACCAAATGCTACAGTTACTTCTTGCTATTTTCTGGAAGTTATTTCAGCTGGCTGTAGAGAGGGGAATTCAGAGACAACTTTTCCAAATTCTGCAGGTGACCAGGTGTGAAAAGTGAGTCTGTTTCATAGTTAGGAGCGGGCAGAATAATATACCACTTCCTGTATAATTCTGCATAAGATAATTTTTCTCCATCTGCTACAGCATCTCTCTTCATTATTACTGCAGCCCAAAGAGATCCTCACTTTACATCTCCCCTCATCACTCTTCTCTGTCATGTCTATACCAGCCTACATGTTACTGTCTCTAAGTTTGCTAGGCAGGACTTCATCATGCTTTACACCATCCTATACATCTCTCTCTTACTATCCTCTCATTTTATTTACACCATTTATTTTGTATTTCCAGGCATTTGCCATTTCCGTCAGTCCTGTTGCTTTACATTATCCTCCTAATCTGACTATATGATCACCCTACTAATTACATTTCACATTCTGCTTTCCTCAGTTATTATGTTTTTCAGCATTTCAATTTATTTTGCTGGCAAGGTTTTGGTGTCAATTCACCAAATGAGTTCTTGCCGCCACCACCTGCTATTAATATGGGTTAGATGACTATGTACCGTTGAGAACTTGAGCCCTATTTTCCACCAGTTTTAAGGGGAAACAGGCAGCTCAGGGCTATCCTCCCAACTTGAGAGCCCTGATGTCTTCAAAGGATGCCTGTACTGGATGGGCAGTAAAAATCTGTAGTATCTTGAATTAGGAAAATAATGACACCTTCAGCACTGGAGCGTGGGGAAAACACAGCGGCCAGAGCCACCAAGGGAGCCCCAGAGCCTCATCAGGCCTTGCCCAGGGGCTGGCAGTGCTGCTGACACAGCAGTTGTCTCACAGGGGACAGTGCAGGAGGGACAGTTTGCATGGGGAGGGACCAGTAGCCCAGCAGGTTGCAGAGGTGAACTCGGCCCACAGCCATGGAGACAATGCTCAAGGATGGCATCCTCTCAGCAGAAAGCAAAGAAAACTAAGGCCTCTCTGCTGGCCTTAGGACATCATGACCCTGACAGAGGTTCCTCATAAACATGTAGCTGTCCAGGCATCTGGCTGTAGTGAGTGCCAGAGCCTATTGGTGGTGTTAGGTGGTGGCTGTGTAAGATGTCAGCAGGTTGATGATTTGCTCTGCATGGTGGCAGAGGTACAGGAAGAGGCTGAATGGCTAAGGAGCATAAAGGAATCTGAGGAGGAGACTGGTGGGTGGATCTCCACTCTACCATCCCTGAGAGAAGCAAGCCAGCCACCTGAAACAAAAGAATTTCAGGATCACCTACTTCTTATAACAGGGCAGATGGAAGGGACCTAGGAGACAGGGGGGTTGGAAACAGGTTACTCCTTGGAGCAGACAGCATATTACCCCCCCCCAGCTCATGTCACCTTTCCAAGTACCCCTTTACAACAGATTCGAGGCCCTGGTATTTCAGGATCAGGAAAGTGAGGAAGATGATGATAAGGGATCATCCAGGTCAGAAGAATTCCCACAGAAGAGTCAGAGAACACCTGGTATTACAACCTGCTATACTAGAAAAAAGGGAGTGGTTATGTTTGGTGACTCCACCCTAAGGGAACAGAAGGCCCCATGTGTTGGCTTGATCAGATGCACAGGGAAGTCTGGTGCCTTCCTGGGGCCAGGGTAAGGGACTTCATCAGAAAACTCTCTCTGGTACAGCCCTGCAACTACTGTTCTTTATTAGTCTGGAGAGTAAGTTTTATGAGGAACCCGAGGGGAGCTGGGGCTGTTTAGCCTGGAGAAGAGAAAGCTCAGGGGGGACCTTACCGCTCTCTACCTCCTCTGTAAGGGGATTGTAGTAAGGCAGGGGTGGGTCTCTTCTCCCAAGTAACAAGTGATAGGACAAGAGGTAATGGCCTCAAGCTGCACCAGGGGAGGTTTAGACTGGGTATTAGGAAAAATTTCTTCACTGAGAAGGTAATCAGACTCTGGAACAGGCTGCCCAGGGAACTGGTGGAACCACCATCCCTGGAAGTGCTCAAAAACCATGTAGATGAGGCTCTCAGTGACATGGCTTATTGGTGGCCTTGGCAGTCCTGGGATGAAGGTTGGGCTGATGATCTTTAAGGTCTTTTCCAGCCTTGCTGGTTCTATGATTCTATGATTCTATGAAAAGAGCAAACATCATGTTTATTACAACAGTAACAATATCACAATCAGTATGTGTTGCCTTATTCTGGATTTATAGCTGGGATCTGTGAATGCCCCAGAGCTCTGTATGCAATCCCAAAGACACTGTTTACATGTACCCTGCATTCTATAAATAAAAGATGGAAGTGTCAGAAAAGCATTTTAAAGCACTCTGTTATTAAGCAGTTACCAGCAGATCTAGAGCTTTTCAGTCATTAGTCTTCTACAAGCTTTCCCTGTATGTTGTGACAAGTCATAGATGTTCTAACTTTGGTGCCAGACTGAAAACCAAAGCAAAAGAAAAGAAAAAAGGAAAAAAAATTAAAAAAAAGAGGAGAAAAAAGTTGTCTTTGAATCTGTGTGCCTTAGATAAAACCCTGCCTGCAGACAGACCCAGACTGACAGAAGTAGTGATGGCTAAGCCCCATTTCCTTCTGTGACCAGCCACTTAACTGACAACCTTAGACATGAAGCCCTATGTCCAGATAGACATAATGCATAAAGGACAGGTTTTGCAGTTAGCAAACAAAAACAAAGCCAGTGTTAACATAAAAGTCAGATTTTTTTACCCTTTCACTACAAATATTCAGGACCAGAGAGATGATTAAAGCAACACAAGATTATTACTTGGGCAAAAAGCATGAGGATAGTCATTCCCTCTGAAGTGTAAAGCATGCAGAGGAAAGAATGAGAGCTTCAAGGTCTTTCAACAGGGCCCTGTCTCACATTCCTACAGCATGCCTCTGCTTCCTCAAAAGCCCGTGTAAGTGGGCTGACAATCAGCTCTCCCTCCCTTTTTCCTGACACCAGCAAAGTTGAAGCTTAACATCACTGGGGCTGCCAGATTGGAGGAGAAAAACAAGTGGCCCAGAGGGAGTGCCCCACATCCTCACTGACGCTCTACCCGTGGTTACCTGCCCCCTGAAGCTGTCTACCCTCAGGACCTGTCCTTTGCTGACCTTTCTTCTGCTGATTTCTCCCTTACCAGGATCTTCTGATTTCACTTCTGGGCATCACACAGGTTCACGTCAACTAGATAACCCAGGGATATATGATGTATTTGAACACTCCAGTCAGCTCCCTTAGTTTTCACCCTCTAGAACATAACTTTTATTTTTCCTTTTCAGCAGAAGGCAGAGCACTGTTACGTGATGACCTCTCAGAGATGAGTAAATTTATAGCTCTCCCACCCCTGCAAAGGCAAAAGCAAAAATTTAATTTACTCTCCTAAATCAGGGCTCTTCCCAGTCCACGGTGTTAGCACTTAACCCACTGTCAGGGCCACAGTGTATGGTGTGAAAGAAGGAAAAGCAATTCCACAGTCACAGGAAATACAACAATTGGTGCTGTAAAGTACCCCAGTCATTAGGTAATTTATCTGAATTATTTTTGTGTTTGAGCTGGAATGGAAGGATGAGTCCCACCTCAGTGAGAGCTTAATGTTTGTGTACCCCAGATTTGTTGCCTGTGACTGCAGACATTACACCATTAAGGGTCACACCTAGCACCTACACTGGTAACAACAAACACAAGCCCGCGTCTCTCACTTCCCCACCAGCTCTGCCAGGCTTGGTGATGTGGCCAAGATCTTGCTCTTTACCAAGTGCTTTGAAGCCATAAGCCCCAAAGTTGAGGTGCAAACAGGGAGATGGATGAGCAGAAGGAAATTTGCCCCTAAACACCTCTGGCAATCTGTTGTCCTGTCCCATCTCAGAGGGTTTCCATGGTCTGATACCTTCACAGCCTCCACCTCTGGGGATGGGGCTGCATCTACCAGCTCTGCCCAAGCAGGTGGGTGGACAGGGCTCAGAGTCCCAAGGAAAAGCATCTGAACCAGAAAGCCAGGTCTGGACAAATCACCATGCACTGTAGCAAGCTAAGTGCCTTTTTGCAAGCATGCCTGGGACTGGGTAAACAGGAAAAATCCCATCCCTAAACCTAAACTAAGCTCTGGGCTTCCCAGAGCAGGTGATCATCAGGTGGGCAAGGCCACCGGGGTGGAGAGCTCTGACTCCCCATTTCCTCAAAATGAGAAAGCAAGGATTGCTCTTCATTTAAGCAGTTTCAGGAGCTGGTTTCCAAGGCAGCTCTGCAAGCAGTTGTGCAGAGGACTGCAGGATCACAGCCTGCAGCAACTGTCAGGCGAGAGGGGAGAAGAGGGCAGTTTGCAAGGGGCCTTTGTGTTTCATATACACCTTCATATACACCTCTTTTCTCACATCAGTAAAGGGTCCTACCACACATGAAGTCACTCGCACCTCCATGATCATTTGCCTGATTTACTATTGGGTCATCTCAGAAAAAGCAACATTGCAGATGAAGCTGAAAGTTTGAAAATCACTGGCTTGGGCTTTTTGGTTATTATTCTGTTTCCTCTGTGAGAGATGAGCTCACTCCCCGCTCTGTGTTCTTTATTTGCAGGTGATTTTTACGTAACTGCACTATTGATCCTGAGATGGATAGGAAGCCTGGCAGCTTAAGCACTGTCCCTGAAGGTGTGAAAGCTTCATTAGATTTATGAAATTCTCCAGGATACACTGAGACTCTGCAGTCCATCTAGCAAAAAGGCTTTACATTTTCCTCATGCTCCCATGATTTGTATTCCTTGATGAATTACTATATTTTTATTATTATTGTTGTTTAAATTCAAGACTTCTCGTCTAACTCAATTGCATGTGAAAAGTAGTCAATTAATAGATGCAGAGAATAGGTGTCCACCCCCCATGAGGCTCAGATATCCCATATCTTAACCTCATCCTAACACTATAATCTCTCCTTCACGTCCTTCCTCTCTGGCTGGACAGATTCTGGCATTTTTCTCCAAAGGAAATAATGCGGCTTCAGGAGCTTTCATTGTTTTCACCTGGGATAAATGAAAGCATCTTTAGAAATGGTCAGAGAAAAACAAGAAACAATGACCTAGAGATTAAAGATGTGTCCTGGTTTCAGCTGGGATAGAGTTAATGTTTTCCATAGTAGCTAGTATGGGGATTTGTGCTGCAAACAGTGTTGATGACACAGACACGTTTTCATTACTGCTGAGCAGTGCTCACACAGAGTCAAGGCCTTTTGTGCCTCTTACCCTACCTCATCAGTGAGCAGGCTGAGGGTGCACAAGAAGCTGGGAGGTGACGGAGCTGGGACAGCTGACCCCAACTGACCCAGGGATATTCCACAACATATAACGTCATGCTCAGCATGTAAAGTTGGAGGAAGCAGGAAGGGGGAAACATTCAGAGTGATGGCATTTCTGTTCCCAAGTAACAGTTACACGTAATGGAGCCCATCTTTCCTGGGGACATTTGAACACCTGCCTGCCCATGGGAAGAGATGAATCAATTCCTTGTTTCGCTTTGCTTGCATGTACATCTTTTGCTTTAACTATTAAACTGTCTTTATCTCAATCTACAAGTTTTCTCACTTTTACCCTTCCAGTTCTCTCTCCTATCCCACCCAGGGGGGAGTGGGTAAGTGGATGTGTGGGTCTTAGCTGCCAGCTTGGGTTTAAACCACAACAAGATGCAAATAAGAACTGCCATTCCATTCTGGCAACAGTGCTCAGACAGAGAATCACTTGGCAATGGGACAGAGCTGTGAGGCAGCACACTGCACACCGGGTTTCATGAAGCAATGCTGTATACGTAGTTCAGTGGCTCCCCCATACCCTGATCTAGGTCTCTGAGCAGAGTGTAGGTTTAGGCCTCAGTTATCTATTTAAGAAAAAGGAAAAGGACTGGATGAGCTACATCAATACACTGCTTCCTCTCCCCAGTCCCCCCAAAAAAACTGTTGCTGCTCTCATCTCATCTCATCTCCAGCACCTGCCAAGTTCCCATGGAGAGCAAGACATTCCTGGGTTGTTTCATTGCCTTTACTTAATGCAATAATACTGGCTAAAGTGTTAGTAGGGCATCAAAGTGACTGCTTAGGACCAACACTGTTAAAAAGTTCCCTGGCCATGTGGTTGGGGGTATTAGTGGCAGACTCATGACATTTGTAGAAAAGACTAATTCAGAGGCTGAGAAATCCATAGAGAATAATGAAGTTAGACAGATAACAGCTAAACCAGAGAGAAAAAAAGGCCACCTTGTATATACAGGAAATATAATAAAGAATGTAAGATTTTTATTCAAAACGAAAGTGAAGCTTGGAAAACAAAAACACAGTAGTCCAAGAACAAGAATAGGCAATAAATGAAGTAAGTCTAAGAAAAACCTGTCAGATGTCACCAAAACATGACCATGCCCAGGGGCTGTTCCCTGTAATAGCCACAGGCTCTGCTGCCCCTCTAGGAATACAGGCAGGCAGTAAGAACACTGTCTGGATACACTGGCAGGATCAAGCAGGAGAATGGCAAATACTGTTGCTAGCAGCAAGAATGGCCTTGGAGGGACTATGCAGGAGACATGACTGCTACACGCTTGAAGATTTTGCAAAATGGGTGTACCCAAAGACAGGCAAGCAGGTTTCAATACAGCTGTGTGTGAAGGGAATAAAAAAATAGCTATCTGGAAGAGCAGGAAAACCTCCCTAACAGCCAGATGTCTGTGAAGTCCTATGGCTTCCAAAAGGCAGTATGGAAGCATCATTCACTGTTGTGGTTTAAAGCCAGATGGTAATTCAGCACCAGACAGCCACTCACTCACCCCATCTTTTCCTCCTCCCCAGGCAGGATGGGAGGAGAATCAAAGGAATGTAAAACCCATGGGTTGAGATAAGTAAAATAAAAGAGAGTGATAATAGAAATAATACCAACAATAAAGATAATGATAAAAATAGTGAACTATTGAAAAAAAAAAGAAAAAAATTCAGAAAACCCAAGTGATGCACAATACAACCACCCGCCAACAGATACCCAGCCTGACCCGAGCACTGATCTAGCCCCCCCAGGTAACTGCCCCCACTTTATATACTGGGCATGACGTGCTGTGGTGTGGAATACCCCATTGGCTAGTTTGGGTCAGATGTCCTGTCCCTGCGTCTTCCTGGCTTCCCTTGCCCCTTCTCACAGGCAGAGCATGAGAGACTGAAAAGCCCTTGATCAGAGTAAGTTCTACTTAGCAGCAACTGAAAACATCAGTGTATTATCAGTGTTGTTCTCAAACTAAAGCCAAAACTCAGCACTGCACCTGTTACTAGGAAGAAAAATAACTCTATCCCAGCTGAAACCGGGACATGCATCAGTTTTGGAACAGTGCAAGCAATCTCCTTGTGGGCACTGGTACTCAGGCACAGCCACAGCCCTGGCCCAGCTGCCTCAGAGATAACCTTCCACCCCTGCAAGCAACACGGCTCCATCAGTTTCCCACTTAAATCAAGATAAAATGAAAACATTCATGTTTGCCTTTTTCCCCAGTTTTGATGAAGCTTCAGTATGAAAAACACAGAAATGACATCCTTTTAGGCATTTCTAGGTTTTGTCAATAGCAGGAAAACATGTTTTTCTTCCCAAGAGATAGGGATTGTCCCCACTGTTAAATGGTTGTTTGGATTTTCATTACGTTTCCTACTTGCAAAAATCATTGGACATGGGCATTTTTATTTAAGCTAGCTCTAGCAATGATAATGAAGTAGTAACAAAAATGGAGCTTTAAAAGGCCCTTTATGGCTCTTTGATTTTCCTCAGTTCTGTCCTTACAGCATCAAAGTATTTACTTGCTTGTTTTTTCAAGGCAGTATTTTTCAGGACTACTGGTATAGTTTTAAAGAGAGATTTCACAAGCAACATTCCCACACCATGGGCAGTATCCATTTTGTACAAGTATAGTACCTTACAGTACCCAGAGCAGTCTGGGGTCACAGGGATCACAGGCTGGAGCGGTTGGATGCAAGTTGTAGGGTTCATGTGTGTCATCATCAGCCCTTGGTGGGCTGCAGCCTCACAAACCAAGCCCCTTGTTCTCTCTGACAGTCACTTTGCAAGGCGCAGTGTAAAATGGCTCCTTTAGGATCAGAAGAGTTCTGCCCTGTTTCTCTCCCTTGGCTGCAAAGGGAGCTGGCATGGGGCACCCCGGTGTCCCAGCCCTGCTGTAGAGAATGACACTGGAGCAGACAAAATCTCCCCATTATATTGCCCCCATGTAACTGTACCCTCCTTCGCTATGCACTAAATTATATAGGTCAGTCAGCCCGAGTATGGCTTCAGTTAACCACCAGGAAATAGTGGCAATGCACTGACCTTGAGCAGGCAGTAAGGGAAAATGCTTCTTTAGGTGGAGAGTTCCTTGAGCTCCTCAGACAAAAAACAGTATTTGATGAGCAAAGTACTACTGTAATTAAAACCTTTGCTGAAAACAATTGCAATAAGCAGTCCTGTGCTAAATAACTACTTTGAGATGCAAGCCTCCATGTCTAACTCTGGCTGACCTATAAAGAGCTTTTCTGCTGTGCCATTAATTTCCACTGGTCCCTTAGCTAGTCACTTCAGAGTGTCTTCACTGGCTTTGAATTCTGCAGTTCCAGGGTTATGGC